GAGTGAGTAGTCGTGTATGTTAACTACTGTGAACAACAGCTGTTTGAAATGTTATACTGTATCGGTGCATTTTTCAGTCACTATGTCACCAACAGGGAGCTCAACTGCGTTTGCCTATCTTTCCCCATTGAGATGGTCGAGGTATCATCATGCTAGAGTCTACCATGCGTGATTATAGTTCAGCAAGTCAGAGCCCGCATGCCGGTCAACAAATTATCAAACGCCCAAGAGAGTACTTATAGTCAATTATCGTTGTCTGCTTGCCGTAATGACTGTATCCTATAAATACTACAAATTCCTGTGGATATGTTACCCGTATATGCTAGTGCTTTCTGATGATGTCTCTGATGAGGAATCCACGACGGATCTCGAAACGTCAGGTAAATAAAAGTGTTGCCAGAGCGACCCATTTCATCCACGTGTGAAAAGCACGGCAGTCTCCGTGGGATCCAAATCCACGCTAGCAAGCAGGAGCCGTTAGTACAGCCAACACTCTAGCCAAACAAGCTATCGAGGCTTCGTCACAGCCGCGATTTTAAGCACGTTTGGGTCGATTTACGCGTCCAACCTACTGCAACCTAGGTTCCACCAGATGACTACCAGGCGCACCTTCTTACCATCTTTACCGTCCGTCAGTAAGCCCAAGCTCCTTGGCAGCCGTTTCGATCCACTCTTCACGTTGGCGGAATATGCCAGGTAGGTCGCAGACAAAGTGAGCCGCTGCGCCAAGGTCATCAAGGCTCTAGTGGGCACATCTTGGGGCTGCGCGAAAGAGACTTTGGTGACCACATTCAAAGCACTGGCCAAGCCGCACGTCACTTATGTGGCACCAATCTGGTCTTATACGATTAGCTCTTCCAGCTCTGCCATCATGACAGGCTCCCTGCGTCTTCACCAGAGAGCCGTTGTCGAAGGACAACTAAACTACCATCCCATTCTGGGTGTATATCGACCTCAGATTGCGGCCTCGGGACAACAACTCTTGAGGGTCACTTTCTATACCTTCGGTCAACCACGCAGTGGCTACTCAATGTTCCTCCGCCAGTACCAACACCGGCTCAACCTGTTCATATCCGACAGTTGTCCCGGCTGCGGTGTCTCTCCGTATGACTGGCAGCATCTATTCGCCTGCAGTTTCCGGCCAGGCACCCAACTCACCCCCGTAGATCTTTGCCTCAAACCGGTCGATGTCGCGGCTTTTCTCTGTCTTCCAACTACAACCAGTTTGGATTCAGGCGAGGACTCTTGACCCAAGTAAGTTTACGACACACACTAGGATATAGTTGGAACATACAAGGAAAGACATGCAAAAAAGGGAAGGACAATTACCCAGTACTGATCCCGATATTCGAGCATAGCTGGCGATAAGGCTGGTGGAGGCGTGCACCCACTCGGAACGAGCACAGGCCCCTCGAGCCAGACGTTCGCTCTTGTTAACATCTACACCCATCCAGGCCAGAGTTTGGCCGAAAGCTACAGCCAGCAGGAGGGAGGCAACAGCCAGGCAAAGGAGTTGAAGCGGCTGCAGAAATCTAGACGGGATCCGCTCACTGTAGGTCTGTGAACCATAAACGGAGCGATAGTCCTCAGTGTAGACGCTAGCCCACTTGGAAAAGGCCCAGCCAATGAGTGCACCTAGAGTGTAAAGTAGGAGGCAGTAAGCGGTTCGTTCGCATGGAAAAAAAGTTGTCAGTCTGGGGGCTGTTCAATCGTACTCACCTCCAATAAGACCACCAAGCACTTGGTGTGGAAAGTGAGCGGCCACGTATAGGCGACTGAGGGAAACCATTAGGATATAGGTCCCGAATGTGATTGCGACTGGGGTCTTGATACTGTGAACAAAAGGTGAGGGGAAAAAGTCTCAGAAGTGACAGATTTCATCTAGACAAAACAATTAAAACAGCATTGCTATTGTCTAAGTTCCGCAAACATTCCCATTGTTAATCTTAAGGGTCAGTTCATAGCAAACAATTGTTTTCAGCAACTCGTCATCAGGCCAAACATTTGCAAGGGAAATGAACGCTGTACATAACAGTTAAAGTTTGCGAGCACCCGTTGGTGTAGGCCTTTGAAAAGGTAAGATGGTGTCCGGTAGATGACCTGAAAAGCTTTATTGGTATCGACTCGACGATTCGTATCGAAAAGATTGTCTACCGGACACCATCTAACCTTTCCAAAGGCCTTCACCAACGGATGCTCGCAACAGCTAAAACAGCAGCTATAAAACTAGAAAAATCCAGTGCTGTATTGTCAGAAGACGCTGACACAAGCCCTTACATTTCCGTGGCCTACACCGACACCAGGTGGCGATAGCATTTCGCCCCTACCCACTAGCGGCAGTCTCTCAACCAACACACTGACATGGCCTACATGCGCAAACTTACATAGTCCGCAATGGCCAATCAGCGCCCATGTTAGACAGTTATTAATTTTTCTACATATTCAAACTTTAATTGTTATGTACAGCGTTCATTTCCCTTGCAAATGTTTGGCCTGATGACGAGTTGTTGAAAACAATTGTTTGCCATGAACTGATTTTTTAGATTTGCTATTTTCATGTTACATTTTGGATCGGATATTTTGCAACTAAGCTGAAAAGTAACAGATTGTGAGCGAATAATTGAGGTCAGGAAGTAGAGTAAGGGTAACTAGGAGTGATGGACCAAATGAGGTTGCCACGACTGGCAGAGCTTCAGAGCTTATGCCAGAAACAAGTGCTACGGAAGCAAATTAAGGCGCAACAATCTGTGTGCCTCTGGCCACCTACTGGCTTATCCCACAAAGTCCGACATTCGATAATTTACGATATAATGGTCTGTAAACGCAGTTACTCAAATCGAGTTGATCTGGCTTTAGGCGTCTAAATGACGCCAAGTCCTTAGACGATGGACGTTAAATACGTGCGTTCTTATTACTCCCAAAAGTTAGACGCAACGAACACGTTAATTGAAAGAACTTTGGAGGAAAAAAAGACCAAATTGAGCAGGTTATCTGAGCATTTTTGTTAAGACTAATTAAATTCGAAAAAAAAGCAGCGCGAATACGAAAGCCAAAACTGTGAGCGGAAGGTGCGCGTAAAACGAAATCCAAAGGTTTCAAAATAGTATGGATAAAAGGCACAGTAATGAACTATCAGTAGTTATAGATTGCAATTTCAAAGCGCTATAGAAGTAAGGTAACCTTGATCAAGAAGAAACCAACATTTCAATATGGTTTGCGAAAATTCCCATTGAAAATTTCAGAAGATAAGTTGGCGAAAATACGTTTGTTTTCGATAAATTCTCGTCAGGCCTTTACATTTA